GATTCTATGATTCTATGATTCTGGGTGCTGAGAGGTGCTGGCAGGCAGCCCAGGGGCGGCGTGTGCCTCTGGACACTGACAGGAGGGCTCCAGGACCTCTCCAAAGGTGCAGGAAGCAACCTGAGGAATTGCTGCAGCCACCCTGTGTATCTGCATGCTCTGCCATGACTGCAGGATGGGTGGTGCTGCCGGCATGCCCTCAGCACTCCAGCAATGGACACGACTGACAGCACAATTTTTGTCTTTTTTTTCTTTTCCCTAAAATACATTAGATTTGCTCCAGCACCAGTGCAGGAACGACTCAGCTGCATGGCCAGGAATAACTCCATCTATGTGGTTGCAAACATTGGGGACAAGAAGCCATGTAACTCCAGTGACCCCAGCTGCCCCAGCGACGGTCACTATCAGTACAATACTAATGTCGTCTTTGACTCAGAGGGGAAACTGGTGGCTCGTTACCACAAGGTAAAGTGGCCTTGGAAAGTCAGGAGCTATTTTTCCGCTACTTCCTAAAGGTCTCCCATCTGGCAAGAGAATTAAATGCTAGTCATTGTCTCATGGCAGATTTTTGCTTCTGTTTATAGTTCAAAAGAATATCTCTGTTGCTGTGAAATGTTAACTCCAAATTTGCATTTGCTGTCCTGTTTCTCAAAGCAGATTAGAATAAAAAATGGTTCCTCAGGTCCAATTCAGCAGCATATGTTTTTGGTTGACTTCCTCAGTTTGTTAACTTCCTGTTACTGGGAACCCTGCTGCTTGAGCAGCTTTAGTTTTCAATGCCAGCTTCTCACCAGATAAACCCTTCATGTTCCAGCATTTTAAAATGTTCATCTGCATCTCATCTTACATGAATAGTCTGATTTAAGGAAGATGAGCCCTTTTGTATCTCTTTTTCTTTTTCCAGCACAGTTTTTGCATAATGGAAATTATCTGGACAAACCCATGCTGGGTGTAAAAAGAGACGAGGGCATTGAAACCTTTGTACTCAATGAAAGTATCTTCTTTCAGTTTTATGTGCCTACCTGCAAGGGTCATCAAAGTTGTTTGGGGTTCGTGTGCTGGATAGTACGTCCATGTGGCTAGAATGAAGTCAGTTGTTCATTTAATGCACTTTGAGCTCAGCATTTCACCTAGTTCTTCAGAGATTATGGCAAGTCATTTGTTTGTGAGCAAACTGGGTGAGGTGAACACTGATACTGTGGAGTCTGGTCTCCTGTGCATCAGACTGGCACGGCCCAGGCACTGAGTTACAAGTTCAGTAAACTTGAACCTATTTTTTGTCTCATTGGAACATGTTTATTGTTCAGGCCACCTGGAGATTAAAGGACTCTTTTAGTAAAGGTGATCTTGAAGGAAGAATTAAACTGTTGGAAAGCTAAGAATGTTGCAAATTTAGATTTTTCTGTTGGCTAAGATCATCTGCCTTTCCCCCATGACCATCATCTTTGTTTTTCTCTCCACTCTGCAGCCCCCCTGTACTGTCTCGTGTTTCCTACTGGTGCTGTGGGCTCCACATCCTCCTGTGTGTCTCCACACCGAGGTGCCCAATCCTGTCTCTTGGCACCAGATCCTCCATGCTCCTCTTCATTACTATTTCTCTTCTTTCTGATGTCTTTCAGGTCACCAGAATGATAAAGTAGGTAAGGAGACTGGAGAGATTATTTTTATGGAAGTTGCAGGCAGTTGACACCAACAGACCTGCAGATAGCTGGTTGCTTTCCTAGCTAGACGCTAGGGCAATATAAGTTTCCCCATATCCACCTTTTGGGCACTATGGTGACCGTACAATTTTAGGCTGACTTCGTAGATGTGAAGACTTCAAACACAGGTTAAAAAACTTCTCTCATCATTCTGAAAACTTTTAGGGAATGACTCCAGGATATTGCAGTAGGTGCCTTTAACTGGTTTCTCTTTTTTCCTTTCTCTACAGTATAATCTCTTTATGTTAGAAACTCAGTTTAATTACCCTAAAAAGCCAGAAGCCGTCACCTTTGAGACCCCCTTTGGGAAGTTTGGCATTTTCACTTGCTTCGACATCCTTTTCCATGAGCCTGCTGTAGTCCTGGTGAGTGAGTTGCAAGTGGACACTGTGCTGTTCCCAACAGCTTGGATGAATGTCCTGCCGTTTCTGACTGCGGTTGAGTTTCACTCTGCCTGGGCTATGGGCATGGGTGTCAACTTCCTGGCTGCCAATACACACCGTACCAACATCTCTATGACAGGTAATTCATTCTCACTCCGTCTGAAAAATCTTTATAGCCATGAATCTTTATTCCCCATTCTGCAAGGTGATTTTGCAGAGGAAGACAATATATACATTTGGAAAGTGAAGAGTCTAGTCACCAAATTTTAAAACTGACAGTCCCTGTTGCTACTGGTTCTATACAAAGCACGGCAAAACGTGGTGTTTTCTTTCCTTCTGCCTGGCTTCTTAGGATTTTTCCTTTCTTTCTTTCTTTTAATGCCTCTAAAGAAGTAGTAAGTTACTGTCCCTTCTGTCTGAGTAGAAACTTCTGAAACTCAGGCTCTTTTCCTCTCCACCGTAAGTCTGCAATTGAATGCCCAACGATAAATATACATGTAAACCCAACACATGGCTCCATTGATTCTGGCCAAAAGAAAGACTTATTTGTAGCAGTATTTAACACTGTTGTGGAAAAGTGTTAAGGACAATTTTTCAGACCTGTTGCAGTAACACTGCTAAGAAGTCTTTATTTTCTTTTGAGAGTGTAGCACTGATTTTCTAGAGCTTGGCTTATGGGATAGTGTATTTCAGCTAGACTGGTATCTTCACTGAGCTGTGAAACCACAGTATTGACTTGGGACTTCTCATTTGAAATGCCTAACAGGCTACTGCTTGTTGTCCAGTTTTGGGGGCTCTTTGGCAGTAATGGGTATGACAAATCTTCTTTGATTTCCCTCTATCAGTTAGCACTGGTCAGGTGTGAATTTCCTACATGGGGAGGAGTCCTCAGCCAGTCTACACTGGGCTGGACAGCTGCTATCTCCTTCTGCGTTCACCAGGATGGGCCTGTGATTCTTGCCTGTGGTCTGTTTTGGATGGTCTCAATCCGTAGATGGTCCTTTTACATCAATTTGGCAAGACTAAAGGAATTCTCAAGCAACTGTGTTGTGTACAGAAGAAAAGAGAACTGGGGAGGCCATAAATACAACCATAACATAACATCCTCTGCCTTTGGCTACACTGAGCAGACCTCACCCAGGGAAATAAATGCTATTCTTTGCCAAAGCATGAGTTCTATGTACTGAGCTGCTAATTGTCACCTTTGGTGAGACTAAAATTTCTGTTATATTTATAAAATGGTGGATAAGCTAGCAGCAGGGACAACTGAAAGGACAACATGAAATTTTTTACTCTTTTTGGACTGACTATTGTGCTTTCCTCAGGAAGTGGTATTTATGCACCAGACGGAGCCAGAACATACTACTATAATACGAAAACTGAAGATGGTCACCTCCTCGTTGCTGAACTAGATTCCCATCCTCGCCTTTCTCCTGCCTTCCCACCTGCTGTCAACTGGAGCTCATATGCTTTGACTGTCAAAAGATTCTCACAGAATGACCATGATTTCGGAGGACTCATATTCCACGACTGGTTCACTTTCACCGAGCTCACTAAGCCTGAAGGGAATGTCACCGTTTGCCAGAAGGACCTCTGCTGTCACTTGAGCTACAAGATGGCAGGGAAACGAGAAGATGAAGTTTATGTGCTAGGTGCTTTTGATGGGCTTCACATTGTTGAAGGACAATACTATCTGCAGGTAATGACTCTTCGGAGGGGAAGTACTTATTTTAGGAAGCTTCTTTAGAAGGAGAAACCTTCAGCGCTGTAGGGGAAAAAGACAATGACTTTCTTGTATGCTGGAGTCCTGGTGTCCTATTTGTTAGAAATGGGAAGTAGTTGCTAAAACATCCAAGCCTGCTTACGTTTAAATCCAACAAATGCAGTGGAGACGTCTCTAAACCTCTTTTAAGTCCCCAGAGTGCGCTCACTATTTTTTCAAGCGTGCACTATTGGCTAAGTTTGGGTTCTCTTTTGTGACTGTCTGCAGTAAGTGCTCTGAATCTCCTCTGTAATCTTCATCAAACAGTTGCTGTTAAAAAATATTATATTTATCTTTATGAGACGGTCTGATAATTTAGAGCCACGGAGATGTCAATGTTTTGTCAAATCGTAACAATGAAGTTTACTGAAATGGTATGTGACTTTTACTGGACTTCCTCTCTTTAAATCAAATGCTTGGGAAGACAAGTGAGTTACATCCTGGTTGAATTTGCTTAAAGCCATATTTGAAAACCTTCTTTGCCTTCATAATTAAGTTATCGTGCCACCAAATTATTCTTTTTTTAGTTACTCACATCTGTCTGTCAACATGGACTTTGTGTATCAGCTGGTGCAGACTCCAGGATATGGGTGGTCTTTGCCAGAAAACAGCTCATCTAATACATTTCAGAAGGTAGCTTGAATAAATTCAGGTCTTGATAAGCTCGCTTAGAAAATTTATTTCAGTGATTGTGGAAGCTGTCAGATGGTCTCTACCATTAATGAGTTTTCTAGAGAAGACAGGAATTTCTACTTTTCCTTTTATTACCCAACAATTTCTACTCCCTCAGTATTTTTTCCATTTCCTCAGAACATACTGAGAAAATTTTATTCTTAGTTTCTCTGCTTATTTACATTTCAACACAAAACCGTATTTGCTGATGAATAGTACTTCTGATGTTTGCAAACACACTTCTATCCTCCAATATTTCACACAAATAGAAAAACTCCTCCATCACCTGTCAGTAAAACCAGCCAATATCCTTTGAATCTTCACAAGAGTGCTATTTCATATTTCTTCATGATGTCTATAAACATTTATCAGCTGGATAATTAAGGACAAAAGGAAAACATTGTCATTCTTACTTTCCTCTATGTGCTGCAGCTACTAACACAAAACACTAACAGAGGATGCTAATTTCATCATCTTGGCATATATTGACCAGGAGTCAGATGGAGAACATGAAATTCAAATTTCCTATGGACTACCAGGCCATCTAATGAGTTTTCATTAGCAACATGTACAAATACCAGTAAGAGAAGCTGTGTGTGCAGTTGCACAACGTACTCGTGAGGAGGTCTTTGTTCGTTTGCCTAAAATTTCAATTCACAAACTTATCTTACTAAGATATATGGGAAAGGAACCTTCAAACGAGAGAACTGGCATTTGGAAGAATTAGTAGAAGTGACAGAATTGGGCTTCAGGGATGAAATAAGGTGCTCTGGCAGCACTTACGTCAGAAACAGGTTATTTCTAACTACTAAGGCAACGCAGGTCTGGAATACCCTCAGTCAGATCAAGGGGTGAAAAAACAAGCTACAACTAAGAAGAAGTTGCTTAAAGATTATGAAAGAGATCCTGTGATGGTCACCTGCTCCGACACATACCAGCTTTGATGACACAAGGCTTTCCTGCCAGACTGTTTCCATCTTGCTAAATATGTTGTTGTCTTCTCCTCTCCACAGATATGCACGCTGCTCAAGTGCAAGAGCACAGACCTGAGCACGTGTGGGCAGCCGGTGGAGACGGCGCAGACCAAGTTTGAGATGTTCTCCCTCAGCGGCACGTTTGGTACCAACTATGTCTTTCCAGAAGTCTTGTATAGCGGAGTGCAGCTGGCCCCCGGGGAGTTTGAGGTAATGGCACACCCTGGAGCTGTGTCATGCTAGGTTCTCTGTGGGACAGTGATGGAATAAACTGTCTCAAAGCAGCCACTGGCTCATAGTGAATAATCAGATCTATTAAATACCTTTTAATGAAGTCACTGGTTTCAGTAAGAGATATGGTCTGACGTACCTACTTCCTGTTTTGTTCACATCTTTCTGAGCTCTTAGCATGTTCATATGGGTGCTCCTCTAATCGTGTCCTTCTCTTACCATTTTCAATCAGGTATTGAATGATGGGCGCTTGATAAGTAAGACAAGACCAACAAAACCAGTTGTCACTGTAACGCTTTTTGGACGGTGGTATGAAAAGGATCATCTGAAACAAGACTCACAACCACCAGCCTTCCTCTGATACTACCATAACTGAAGCTGTACACTATTAATCTTACATCCAAATGAGATACAGCATCCTTTATTACAAGAATTCCAATTATGTTTCCTATTTCCTGTTGTAGAAACTTCTTACCAATGTGCTTCGTTTAGTAATAATGCAGCAATATTATTTTATTGCTACCATCTATTGAGAAGTACCTACTTCTATATCATAAGATTAATAATATTTTATTAGTGCAAATCAGTTGTGTTTCTCTCTCTGTTTTCTGGATTTTTATTTTTCTAGCCCTCAGAAAAACCTGTATTGTGGACCAAAGGATATGTTCTTATTAAAATAGCATTGCATATTTTATAATTACAGTTGATTATGAGACCAGTAAATAAAGCAATGAAAGATGTGACTTGCGGCAGGTCTGTACAAAAAAGCTCAATAACGCTTTGTCTCTGATATACAACTACTTATGCTGACCTGTGCAAGTCTGATCTTTTACTCCATTTCATGCATTTTTTTTCCTATTTGTGTTCCTTTGGTTTTGTTGCCTTTATGCCACTGGCACACGTCATGTGGCACATGGCAGCACAGAAAAGTGCATCATGGAGCCTGAGCAGGGACTTCAATCAACGAGCCAACCCTGAAACGAAACCTGCCACCACTTCCTGGTCTGAACTCAACGTGAATCATCATTTTTTTTGAAATCTCTGTTGAATCAAAACTTGGAATGGAAACCTCAAAATATTCTGCTTGCCAGTTCTGAACCAATGCCTGCTGGCTGCACTGGATGCTATTCATTGCTGGAACTCTTTTCACCCAGTGAAGAGGTCACTGAGCAACCTGGTATCATACAGCAGGTCCTCCCTCCTGTCGTCTCTATTTCTTTCTGATTTTATAACACCAACATATGTGAAATATGGAGATATCCCTGTTCCTTGCAGGGGGGTTGGACTAGATGACCTTTGAAGGTCCCTTCCAGCCCTAACCATTCTATGATTCTATGAAATAAGCCTTGTCCTTTGCTCCTTCATGACAATGCTGGATGGTGCTGCCCAGCAGATGAATTTATTGCATGGATTAGGGGTTTTAGATTTCTACTTAAGACCAGCTGCTTCTGGTGAGAAGGCACTGCTCACACCTCTGCTTCCTCTTCTCCCCCAGCGACCTGTGCTTTGTTGCTGCTGCTGGAACTTAGTGACCTTTCTTTCTGTTCTCTTTAAAAGGATTCAACAGCCCTATTAGTCTGTTTTCTCCTTTCTTTTCCCCACACCAGCACCATTCCTGGCCTCAGTATGGTGCTCTCAAGGTCCTCAGTCCCATGTACTTTGATTCTGGAGCTAGCAAGAAGTTGCGAGTGCAAATGCTATCCAAACTCCTGCACTGATTATCACTGCTGTGCACCATATGACTTTCTGTTTTGAAATGTAAATACTCACATGTGACATAACACAGTGTCATGTCTAACATAATGACATGTTTATCAAAAGCCCCGGGTGATGTGCTCTGACTCATGGAAGCTCAACATCAGTGTTGCCAGAGCCATGCTCTCTCAAAACCTTGTTCACTTGTGTAGTCAGTTACTGTCTAACCACAGACTGATCTCAGTCCAGGAAGAGGTTATCCAGTGTGATTCTCTTCCCATGGGTACATGCTCAGAGCAGACACTGTACTTGTCCCCCGGAAGCCTGGTGGGTGATACCACAATGGTCTCCAGGGAAAGGATCTGGATATAAGGGAGGCTACGGCATGCAAGAAGGTCTCATCTTACAACAGAAAGGATTCAGTGGGACCGCGTGGCTGGTGCAGGAGCTGAAAGGCAGCTCCTTCAGGTCCGTTCACTGCTGATACCAGTCCTCTAGCTAAGGGAACGTGTGTGCAAGTAGCATGTGATCCCGACTGTGAATCTGGTGAGTATCTTGAATTCAGGATTCGATTCAAGGCCATTGTGGTTTGGTTTAGGTAAATTTGTATGTTGAATACTTTCCTGTAGAAGACTGGCATAAGCTATCATGGCACTAAATTCTTTTTGCTACAAAGATTGCGTAACATTTATCATTGTGAAATGTATTGTTGTGTGAAGTGAGTCAAGCATACGGAAAGGAATTTGATGCAAGTCTACCCAATATCCACATACTGACTCACTCAGTATAAAGACAAGGCTGCCTGTAACCACTGATAACAAGAAACAATTCTTCCAGGGAAGAGTGGCAAAAAGACATTTTGTTACCTGACAGCTGGGTCAGAACCAAAGGAGGTAAGAAACTTGGGCAACTAGATACAAGGGATTTTTGGGAATGTGCAGCTTTAGCTTCAAGATTTCTGATGGAGTGATCTGTAGATGTAAGAAAGCTGATTGCAACAGGCAGAATTAATTGTGGCTCCCATTCATGATGCTTTCCCACAGATACCTTTGGGGATCTGAGATCTTCACAGCTCAGTTACTGCTGACAGGTTTGCTCAGACAGACAGCCTGCCTGGCAGCGCCCTGGGATGTGGAGCAGCCCCGAAAGGCCACACACCTCTGAGCTGGTGCTGTGCTGAGCTGAGGTGGCACCGGCAGCGCCAAGCTCGGGGTTGGCCACCTGCCTCCTGCAGCCCTGCCTGCACCCCGCACCCTCGAGTTTGGGCAGGAATGTGTCCGTGCTGGTCTTTGCTGAGACTTCCCAACCTTGAGACCTGGGCTTGCCTTGAGCTGCGTTACTGCAGCAATGCCACGCCTGAATCGTTTGTAAAGTTGGCAAGTGACATGTTTCTTCAGCTGCAGCACCGTGGTGACTTCTCTGTTGGTGGAGCAAGGCAGAATTGCCCAATGCTGGTGGCACTTTTGTCTTTGATGTTGTGAGACTTTCCCGGCAGGCTGATTGCATCTCCTGGTGTTGGCTTTCTGCTACTCCGGGGAATTCCCAGGTCTCAGGCAAGATTTCCTCTTTTAAAGCCCCCTGCCTTTGCTCGCCCCTGTCCTCCCCTTGGGTGACTTCCAGGCTGCAGACACGGGGCTTCCTAAAGCTGGTGCCTCTGCTCTGCTTTTTGTTCTGTCTGCTCTGGAGGCCTGTGCCCTGGATAGCTACGTCACAGCTGTCTACAAGCTCCATGTGGTCTTTTTCAAGACATTTAGAAAAGAATAAAATAGACAGACTATTTCAGTTGGAAGTGACCTAAAACGATCATCTAGTCCAACTGCCTGACCTATTCAGGGATGACCAGAAGTTAAAGCATGTTATTAGGGGTATTCTCCAAATATCGCTTAAACACTGGCAGACATGAGGCATCAACTGCCTCTCTAGGAAGCCTTTTCCAGTGTTTGACTGTCTTGTCAGAGGACACTGAAGTGCCTGGTTCTCCTGATGAGGCCTTGATGCTGATGAACAAAAATAACACTTCTGGGTGAAATTCCATAGTGAAGAGGAAGATATTGCGAGGATGAAGAATATATTCCTTGGTTTCTTATGGAGCAGTAAATACAATTAGCCAGGTTATGTTCTTTTACCCTCACGGACATGCCACAGGTTCTTTTTTACGAAGCACCTGAAACTACAGCAGTAAGATGCTATTTCCAAAATACTAGGCAAAAATTACCTTTCAGAAGAAAAAATGTACTTCATGTGAGCAATTTCGAATTGCTTATTGTGCAAAAATTGCTTTTCATAACAAAAAGAGTAAAAATATCTGAGCTGTTTAACTCTTTCTCACAAATCAAACGAGTATGGTAGCTCCAGGCAGAGGTATCAGCACAGTTCAAGGATTAGCTGATATTGCAGTATGAGCCTGGGAGGCAGGAGGCTCTTAGGGCACCTGCTACAAACATAATAAGCCGTTGGCCGAAGGCAAGAGGCATGGCAGGACCACGTGTCTCGTAAGCATAAATGAATCAACTACACTCTGAAGCACAAGGACTGTTCTCCGTGTAGGTGCTCCACTTTCAGCACTGGCTGACTTTTTAACCGATGGCAGCCACACGCAGTAAGGTTATATGGAGTAGTGCGCCCTAACAACGAGAGTCTGGGCTCCCTCCCAGATGGGCTGGAAGCCTGGAGAGGGATGTATGAATAGAATGTGTAAGTGCTCCTTCCATGGAAGCTCTTGTAGATCAGCATGGCTTCTGACATGCTCTCTTAGCTTTTTGTGCATGTTTTATTTACAGCATTTTAAATTGGAAACAAGATCCAATTCCTAGAAATGTTCCTTTGACTTCTTACTATAAATAAATGTCCTGATTGTTGGCAGACTATACTGTACCTTCCCAGATTACTCAACAGAAGATTATTTCCAAAGCAAACTTATTAGTCTTTACTCCTCCTCTTTCTATCCAATTTATATTCCCCATGCTCGATCCAGGAGCTACAAAGCACCAGCCATGCTCCCATCCCAGCCTCTCCTGCACGCTGCGGTGTTCGCCCTCGCAGTCCTTCAGGCCCTTGCCTCCGACACCTTCACTGCAGCTGTCTACGAGCACGCAGTCATCCTGCCAGATGTCCCTGACAAGCCTGTTTCTCCTGATGATGCTTTGGCCCTGATGAACAAGAACATGGATGTCTTGGAAGGGGCCATCAAGGAAGCCGCCCAGCAGGTACTAGCTGTATCGTGAGTGCTGTTCATTAGTGTTTTCTGCTCTGCTGACCCTCCTGGCTATCTGTTGGTGAGTGAAATCTTAATGGAGCCTGTTGTGTCAGGGCGCCCGCATCATTGTGACCCCTGAAGACGGCATTTATGGCTGGCGTTTCACAAGAGAAGCCATCTACCCCTACCTGGAGGATATCCCTGATCCGGCGGTGAACTGGATTCCCTGCACCGACCCCGCAAGGTGATTCCTTCTGGATTGATTTTTGTGGTTTCAAACTAGTGCCTCCTGGAGCCATGAGCTGCTCCCAGTAAATGCCAAAGAACTGCTAAATTTTTAATGTATTTAAAGTCTCAACTGTTGTAGAAATGAGATGCATCAAAGAGAATTCTTAATGAAATGTTACTGGGAATATGCAAGGTAAAAAGCATTAAGACAGTCTCACTTTTAAAAATTGTAAAAAGGAGAAAAAGGAAATTCTGGGCAAAATCGTTATTTTTAAAACACATAAATCTTTATCACTTCAGATGAATTGTGAAAATCTTCTGTAAGTATAAGCTAGTTTATTATCATGTCCGATGCATAGA